CAAAAAGCACACCTTGATTTTGCCATTTTATATAAGGGACACCATTTTTCTACGCCATTGTGTTTAATGGAATTTGAGTACCCATGGATTTTGGTATCCATGGGGGGGGGGTCTTGGAACCAAACCCCAGCAGATGCCACTGTACTAGCCTGCTCTTTTTATATCCCATTGGCCATTAATTCTATGACATAGAAAGACCAGAAAATGTCTCATCTCTCCATGTTATTTTCAGAATCCTCAAAGAAAGAGAGATTAGAGGATGACAAATTCTACAGCAACCAGTCCTTGGTGAAATGTATACATAATATAATATAAATGTTAATGTGTAGTGTGCAGTGTATACTTGTGAAGGTGTCCCCCTGCCTTGCTGTAAGATTTGTACCAATGAGAAGGCAACTTATCTAAATTTAATCACAGTATTGCAAACAGCATGGCACCCTATTAAAATAGTTTATAAACAGTGAAAAAATATTTCAGAAGCTCATTATAATGAAATTTTAAATAGTGTCTTTCTTTTATTTATTCTTTACTTTTTTCCAGGATTGTGTGAGGCTTCCTGAGGGAGATCATTCGAGCATTCTAGTGAGTGTGTCATATGTAAAAAATTATAAATGTTCTCTCTCTTAATCTTTTGTTTGCCAAGCCCTGTGTGTGATTTGTCTTTTCCCTAATTATTACTAAGTACTCATTACTTTCCTATTCAGAATGCTTATGTCAAATTAATTATGGTTAAGTGAGAGGAAACCAACCGATTAGAATGTTTTTCTTTGCACTTGAAATAGGAAACATTGTTTATATACAAATAACAGCCTTTAAAAAATATCACCCCATCTTTCCTAGGATTTAAAGGTTTAGTACAGGGGTAGGCAACCTAAGGCCCGGGGGCCGGATGCGGCCCCCCAAGGCCTTTGGACCGGCCCCAGTCCGGTCCTGCCACTGCTGCTGCTGCCGCCGCCGCCACCCACCATGATGATATTGATTATTGTTGTTATTACTTATTCTTGGGGTTTTCTTGGCAAAATCTCCACAGGGGTTTTGCATGGCTTTTCTGGGGCTGAGAGAGTGTGCATTTTATATTTATTTATTTATTTATTTTTGGTGCTTTGGCCCCCCAATTGTCTGAGGGATAGCAACCCAGCCCCCAGCTCAAAAAGGTTGCCTACCCCTGGTTTAGTAAATCCATCATCTGAATTGATCTTGCTGCAGGGAGCAAGTGAGGTGTAGTGATTTTGAGTGCTGGACTATGACTCTGGAGACCAGGGTTCAAATCCCTGCTTGGTCATGGAAACCCACTTGGTAACCTTGAGGAAGTCATTCTCTCTCAGCCTCAGAAGAAGGTAAAGACAATCCCCCTCTGAACAAATCTTGCAAAGAAAAGCCTTAGGGTCACCATAAGTCTGAAGGAACTTGAAGGCACATAACAAACCAGGGCTGAGGCTTTGGGGAGGAAGAGCATTGTCTTTCCCAAATAAGAATTCTGCCCCCAACCCATGAAATTCCTCTTCAGTCCCCATATTTCTAACATTCTAGTAACTTAAAATTTTAGTTGAGCCATCCCATTTAACCCACAATACAGTGTCTGACCTCTCTGACTTGGCGGAAACAGAGTTTGGTATCCAAAGAAAAGGGGCAGGCAAAGCTACCAAGAGAATGGAAACACACAAATGTATGAGTTGTAGGTGTGAAGGATTTTTGGTGTTTCACTGTCTGTAATACTACAAATCTGGGCACTGAAAGGAACTCATCCTCCCACTGCCCCTCATGGCTAATCCATATGGTGTGTAGAAATCTGTTGCTGTAGAAAATATTACTGTTATTTAGTATTTCAGTTAGTACATGATCCTCAAGTGAAGTGCTAAACTAGTATTGTATCTTTGAAGTCAAATCTGAATATGTACAAGGATTTGCGTGAGTGCACTAGTGCAGGTGTAGGCCACAACACTCCCCCCCTTCTGTCCTTGATCCCCACAATGGCCAGAAAGCTTCCTGTTCTAAAAGACAATTCACCAGTATTTAAAAGGTAATATAGCCATTAAATAGGTTATAGAGCCCTCCCTATACACACTCGGCCCTGCATGTTGTTAATGAGATAGATATTCAAGGCAGATAATTCAACATAGAGCGATAGATATATTCCGCTGACAAAGAGAGAAGCAGAGTTGTGCACACAGCAACATTTCACATTATGGTTATACACTGCAAATTGAGTATTGAAGTAACATATTGCACAATGGTACCCTGTCGTTGCTGTTGCTGTTCTGAATGGAAGTTGCATAGCACTGGTGCAGTGTATCTCCCTAGCCAGAAACACAGATTTACACTACACTGAGTGAGTGTTGGGAGACTGCAGCCTGTGTGTGTGCATGCGCATGTGTGTATGTGTGTGTTTCAA